AGTTAGATCAAGATGGAGAGATGAAGAAATGGTGCATGGAGCACCAGTCTCTCAAGGAATTTGGCCAGAAAAGGGAGAAAGAAAATGGTACCCAGTGGGGAAACAAGGCCAAGGGAAGGGCTTCATTAACGGTAGAGATTGGCAACATGTTTGTGTGGAATAGTCTGGGAGAAATGAAAACTAGTGGTGCTGCTGTGGAGAGAGGGCCAGTCCTTAGAGAGGAGTCCCCATCAAGTGAGGAGCAGCCAGCCTGGGGTTGGGGGGCACTGCCTTAAGTAGGAACACAGTGTCCTCTATTTCTCCTTTTCTTCATCTCGGATTCCCACAGTGGACTCATTTCCTTCAGATGCCTTCTCAAGTTCTAGAAGTTATTTGATATCCTTGGGGGGAGCAGGTAAAAATGTCCCCAGCACTCCCCCCAGGAAAGCCAGGTGGACAGATCTACTCTTCCAGTTATCAGTTTTGTTGGATGAGTCCAGTGAGATTTTTGTACAGCGCTCCATGGAAACTATCTCCTCTTGACAGGGGAGACGTGGATCTTAGCCAGGCGGTGACCGTGACAACCAGCCGCTCCTGGTGCCCCTGTGCGTGCCTTGGCTTGTCTTTTCTTTACCTGTTCCACCTTGAATGACCATATTTGTTCTGCTACCTCCAATGGAGTCTTTGGGTCTAATGTCTAAATGTTACCTCACCTGCTGGGGGAACTCAGAGCCAAAGAGTCTGCTCTCTGGCCAGCTGTTAAGTTTATCACCCAGTACATTAAGCCCACGGTGACTGGTGGAGGAACTTTATGTTGAGTTCCTACGAGAGACAATAGTACCACCTGCTGGAATGTGCTTGACCGGGGGAAAAGACAGCAAGAGCCGACCCTGCTTTTGCTCCATTGGCTGTCCTAAGGCACCCAGGAGTCATGACTCAGCTCTACTCAACAGTGATTTCTGCCACCTGTGCTATTTTTTGAAACAATATGCTACTTTGTACATTTATCTTTTAAATGACTCTCTTTTCCCCCTATAATGATTCGATATTTAAAACTGCCATAAATTCTAAGTAGCTATATTTTAGTTTGTTATTTCCCTTAGAATCTCATGAAAAGTAGCTTATAGAATGTTGAAGTTTGAAAAAACCTTGGACGTAACCTAGTTCAGTGACTTCAAACACCTTTTGGACACGGAACTCTTGGCAATCTAGTCCTCACTTCAGACACCAGCTCACTGAGGTCCCAAAGAGCAAAAGGGCAAATCTTGGACTAGACTTCGTCTGTACTGACCCCCAAGCCATGCCCTATGTCACTTGGACTCTTACACTTGAGGAAAAGTGGCTTAAACAACACTGACTACCTAAGCTCTAAGGGAGACTGATCAAGGATGATTTAAGAACTGAACAGTCTCACCAAGGGCCAAGTTCATCCCACTGCCCTCTACTCTCTGCATGTCTGATGTTTGAAAGAGGTTTGCAGCAAAACCCACCAGCTTCCCCTCAGGATCAAGGGGCAGGAAAGGGACTGTTTTTTCCTTGTGTCTCCTATAAGCTAAGAAATCCTTCCTAAAGACCACAAAAGGACCCTGCTCATGTCCCAATGGCTAGGAGGGAACTATGCCCCAGCCGACGTAGGGTATAGGCAAGGAGCATGGAACTGCCAAACTTGTCTTAGTGAAATCCAGATTCACTAAGGGTCAGGTTATTCTCACCAGAGGATGAGACTCTGAAAACTCTTAAATTCCCCAGCAAGTTTCAGTCACTCACAAGGGAAATGGTTGACTGTGGGATGTTCTCCATGGCTCTTCCATTTCTTTTTGTCCTCTGAGCATCAAGCATTAGAAACTTTATCCTTGCCTCTCTAAGGACATGTGTATGACAACATCCTTGGAAGACAGATAGTGTCCTCCTCCAAGGCAGAGGGGCCATTTTTTTTCCTAGCCAGGAAAATAAAGACAGTGTCCCCAGTGCAAAAATTGGGCAGATTTGCTAGTAGCTCCTTCAAGATTGGGGTTTTCTAAGCTCAGGGTTCCTCAGCTACAAAGCTCACCTTCTTCAATGTGCAGCATCAACCCATGCTGTCCCATGTCAACCCCGTGGGACTTGGGGGACAGGGGCAAAGGAAACCAATACAAACACGAAGCCTGCTATGTTGTGAGTATAAAGGTCCCTTGTCTCTGACTCAGGTGGCTCATGTCTTCTGCCAGCATCATGAAACTGACCAGCTAACTCGTTAGCATGAAAGTAGGGTAAAGTTGGACCCATCCCCGTTCTTGACACTATTGGAAAGGCAACAATTCGCGCCTGCCACAGTGTCGGTTCCAAGGAGCCATGCTCTAGACACCCACTTCTCAAATGCTTATTTCTGGAAATGAGAATATTTTCAGTGTTTAAGAAATTCCTTCCTACGGGCAGAAACAGGGCAGTGCTTTGGTCTCCAAGCGGGGACACGTCAAGAAAGGAGAGTGTCATTGGATCTGTGTCTCCCAAGCTGCCTCCCTTTTATTCGCTCACTGACTCTCTCTATAATTATCTCTTTTAAAATGTCAGTCGCTCTCACCCAGAAGACCAAGAGCAATCAGCCACAAACTGAACTTTAGAAGCTTTTAAAACACCCTGGCTGTCTGCCTGGGAGATGGGATTTCTCAAAGGCATCCCTCAGCACTGTCAGGGAAGCTGACATTGAGCGACAGAGAGGAGGAGCCCCTCCCTTCTCTCTCCCCCTGGTCTGAGCCCCTTCCCCAGGAGGCGGCAAAGGGAGGAGGGACTGAATACCTCTTGAGCAGAGCCTGATGGAGGCTCACTGGGGGGGGGGGGGTCATTGCTCGTAGTGGCCCTTGGCCTTGAGTCCCTCTTATGGCACCCTGTGGGGGACAGAGGCCCAAGAAATATGTATGGCTATTAAGGAGACCACGATCAAGGTGAAGAAATAGGGATCCATCGTGCCCAACCGAGAAAAGTGTGGCTGTTTTCTAATCACCTCTGGTGCTCAGAATCTCTCCAGATGGTGACACTTGAAAGCAACTGGACAAAGATTCATCATAGCAAAGGGACAGTAGCAGAGGAAATGAGGCCAGCATTTATCTCTTCAAGTCAAACCTTGGGGTTGAGCTCAATTTATCCCTAAATGCTATGTCCCTGATGATAGTTGATGCCTTTCCAATGAAGCCATCTTCCCCATGTGGCTCAGGAAGCCTCCTTCTCCTGCTGTCCTGACCACTTGCATTTTTAAATGCATCTGCAGAGATATAGCTCCGTGGGAACAGAACAGATTCCATCTTAAAGCAAAGCTTTTTTCCCCTGGATCGTGGCAAATCTCTGGAGAAAGATCACTCAGTCTGTGGGTCACTCTGCCGACTCCCTGAGTCCTGTTCATAGTTCCACAGACCCCATAATGGAGGTCCCTGGCCTGCACATTAAATCCTGTTCCAGTGACCCCTGAGGGCAGGGGCCCCTAATTTGGATGAGATGTTTTACTGGAGTGTATATGGAGTCACCACAAGCCTTAAAATTAAAGTTCTCTTTCTAATGACATGAAGGATCAAAATTCCTTGGTACAATTAGGTTGATTAAATTGAGTCCTGTGTCTAATATGCCTGTAGCTCAATAAAGTTAATGCAGCTTTCAGAGAGGCCCGGCACAGAGGCCGGGAACAGCTCAGGTCCTGAGAGAATCCGGCCCACTGTGGTTTTTAAATTAGAAGTTTGATTGCTTGCGACACCATCTCAAAATGGTACCAGCCCAAAGAAACTGAATTTTCCATTAGCCGTGGAAAAAAAATGACAGATATTTAATTAAACCACTTAGAGATTAGGCAAAGGCTTATTGATGGAGAGAGGGCTGGATATCTTTATAAGCAAAGTCAGGAAATTCGCTGGTGTGCCACGTCTTTAAAGTTGATATGAATTCACAGAGCCTTGAGCAGTCCGGGATGTGTCTGCTGCTCCAGCAGGAAGCTGCCTCTCCTGCCGACCCCCAGAAAAATATAAACTTTGAAACCTGTTTATAAAGCACTCGGTGGTCACTGAGGAACATCACACAAAACTTAAAGTGTGAAATAAAGAAGCTGTTTTAATTAAAGTTGACAAAGCAACCACCAACTCCATCCAGCTCTTGCTAGGAGGTGATTTACCGCAGAGCCAGGTTGGCTTGTACATCTTTGGAAGAAAGAACTTTGTGGTCAGTGCTGGAGGGTAGGTCATGAGAAGGATCCAGCATCCCAGATGGAAACCAGCCAAGGTCTGCAAAGCAGGAAGCAGCAAGGCTCCGTGCTGCAGGAATGCTGTGCAGCCTCTGGGACAGCCACGGCTGGTCCCAACGGGGCACAGGTCACCTTCGTTGCTTGGTAATTCATACATCCATGGCTTTCAAAGATGGATAAAATAAACTTTTGTAAATTCCCCCAAAGTGGTAGTTCTCCACTCCAGCTCCCTTTTAACATCCTCCGGGGAGCTTTTTGGAAATGCTGGTGTCTGCTCCAAACCAACTGAGTCAGACTGTCAGGTGTTCCAAAAAGCTCTTCAGGTACTTGCAAACTGATGCCCTCAGAGCTGTAGAAGAGGTCAGTTGTAAGTAGAATCAGAAGGTCTCAAGCTCTAAATTCTGACAAACCTGGGCTCAGATCCTGACTCCACTAAGTCACTAATGTAAGACACTCAATGTCTGTGTGTCACCAACTCCATTCTCCAGGCCTCAATTTCTTTAACTGGAAAGAGTCACTGGTGGTAACTTCTTAGAAAGCTCCTGAAGGTTGAGTAGGGAAACAAGTGTCTGCGTGACACATAGAGGTCCCCCCAAAGGAATTTATTTCCTCCCCTTTAGCAATGCATCGACACTTACCTCCCTCAAATGATTCTGCTGTGGATGTGCATGATGGGTACACACTATGGTGGGATTCACTTTGTAGCCAGTGCCCAGAGGAGATTATTTTTGTCTCCCTGCTTTGTTCTCTGAAGAATCCTCTGCTGCTTGGTAGCTGGGAGAATATACTCACGGGTCTTCCACACTTTCTGCTCCTGCAGCTGCCACAGAAGTGTCCTTTTCATTCGATGTTGGAAATGGGCCAGTGGAGATTGTAGTGAGGTCGCCCTCCCCTCTCAACGATGACCAGTGGCACCGGGTCACTGCAGAGAGGAATGTCAAGCAAGCCAGTCTCCAGGTGGACCGGCTGCCCCAGCAGATCCGCAAGGCCCCAACGGAAGGCCACACCCGCCTGGAACTCTACAGCCAGCTGTTCGTTGGTGAGTACCAGAAGGACAATCGTGACTTCCCTGTTGGTTTTAAGAAACCTCACCATGAAAAAAAAAAATTCTGAAGGGGGTTTTGATAGAGATCCTTCCAAAATAAGTTTCTGTTCCTCTTGTCTCTTCTAAGGCAGAATAGAAAGAGAACTCTCAGGAGACCTGGATTTGACGTCACCCCCCTACTTTCTGGATTCAGGGTCCTCAGCCACAACATCAGAGTGTGAACTGGGATGTCCCTTGGGCCCTCTGATGTCTGCAATTTTAGATTTGTGGTTTTAGACTATGTAAAGTTATTTGATTATTTAGGGCACTTACAACTGGGAGGAAGGAAGGGAGGGAAGGAAGGATAGAAGAAGGAGGAAGGGGAGGGGGAATGGGTTCTCTAAGTTCAAGTTTGCTTGAAACGGTGAGTAAGGGGAGAGGGGGAGCAAAGGAAGGAGCAAAAAAGGTAATGGACGATGTCTAGATTTTCTGAAATGACAACTAGCAATCGTTCTTTTCTCTGCCCATTCTCAAGTTTCTAGGCAGAGAAAGACTGAGACTTGGGCTGACCTGGTGTACCTCCAGGTGGGAAAGAAGCCAGTGCTAATCAGAAAGTTAAACCCAGCCAAAAAGCCATGAAGGAGGTCCAGCCGCTGGTCTTCTTCACCAATGTCATTGTCATTGCTATTGACACATTCCAGGTGAACCTAACATTGCAGCAGAGCAATATCGCTCTCCATGAAGTTTAATTGTTTTCCAGAATATTCATATTTCAGGAAGTGAGCAGCTTTCCTCTAATGGTGGATTTGAAGGACTTTGTGGAGGCACAACCTTAGACCCACTCTCTGGGTTTCTGGGGGCTCCCTGATCAGTTCAGCCAACTGTGGCAGGCTCCACCCAGCAAGCTGGCTGTGACCTGGTGCTATTCATATTCATCACAGCTGTTACCTGGGTGCCACCCTGATGGTAGAGCCTCACCAAGGGTCAGCTAATGTTAAAGAGGACCAGAGTCCCCCACAGTGTCTTTCACAGTTGCTTTGGGATGATCAAAGAACATTAGAAAGTCATTTTTTAAAAAAGATAAAATTGGGTGGCCACTCCTTTCATGTGATGAGGGCAAACTACAGAACGAAAGTGTCAGTTGATGACCTTTGAAAAGGAGACCGACCTGTTAAAAAGCCCATCCACCAGGGGCCATGAAGAGAGTTACGGGTTTTGAAATAAAATAGTCTGCAACCTCACTGGGAACTCACCTCTTTTCCAAATGCTTCCCTCAAATGGCGATCTCAGAATCCATCAGCTAAATATCAGGCCCATTGATTCCTGCTAAGCACGATGAGCAGATTTCACTTCATCAGTGTCTGCCCACCTTACCTAGGGCAAGTTTCTTCCTGAATTCTGCTAATCCCAAACATGCTGGGCATATTCTACTTGTTTTCCTTATACTGGGTGACTCTACTTGGCCCAAATGGGAAAAGTTTCCCATTTTTCTCATGTTGGCCCCAGATACATGAGTTTTATCAGTTTGCACCCACACCTGAAAGGGGTCTGAAAGAATTTTGGAGACCTAGTCAGGCTGTAAGATGAAAAGGGAAAGAGCATTTATGGTGGTCTAGGAAGGGAGGTTGATTCATTTAAAGAAAATGACATATGAGCAGAGCAGAACAGAGAGTGAAATCAGAATTCACAGAAAAATGAAATGTGAGGGACAGGCAGCGAAAGACACCCAGGGACAATGAAGAGAACCAGGACAAGCCAAGGAAGGAAAGAGGAGAAGGCAATGTCACAGGAGGAAAGGGCTTTGTGGAAAAGGTAATAGCAAGGCTATCAACTGCCACGAGTTTAAAAAAAAAAAAAAAAAAACCCATAAAGAGGATTCTGCAGTGGGCTCAGGTTGAGTCCGCGACTTCTCTTCACTTGATAATAAAAGGTGGTCTCGCGTTCCAGTCTCTAATTTCCGGTGATCTCAGAAGCAGGCCTGGAGCGCATCTCTCAGACACAAGCTAGTTGTGCCCATCTGAGAAATTTGGTTCTGCAGCAAAAGAACAATATTGTTCTGCACCAGGCTAAGTGCAGGGGAGCATCAATTTCGGATAAAACAAGTTCAAGTTCAACAGCTGTGAATCCCAAAGCCAGTTCTCCCACAATCAATCATTCAGTAAGATGCAGGCAACCTGTGGACTGGTTTCAGTTCAGCTCTGGTAAAAACATATCCTTGACCAAGTACCCCTACTTCCTCTCTGAGCCTCTTTCCTCGTCTGTCCAGTAAAGCAGTTGGACTAGCTGTTCCCCAATCCCTTCTAACTTTAGGCCTCTATGATGAGGTGCTTAGTGACTGTTAAATAAGACCTGGGCTGCCAGGGTGCAGACCTTCCCACAGGGTTGCATGCTTAACAAATTGGGCTTCAGATGCCACCTCGGCCATTTGCCAACTTGAAGACCACTGATAAATCACTTAATATTTCTTTATTTAATCCGAACGCATTTGTCTCTGAATTAAATGAGCTACTCCATGTAAATCACTCAGGAGAGCACCTAGCACTAGATATGAGTTCCTTTCCTTTTCACCCCCTTGGTTTTTCCACCATGTAACTTTCGAACACCTTCCAAAGAAACGTCTTTCAACTGGCTCGTCTCTTGCTCCTCAGACACTAATATGAAATGTGATCCCTTCAACCCAGCACCCCCAAGGGAACACTCTCCTGCACAAATGCCCCTCAAGTCCTTTGCTTTCCTGCCACAGAGGTCCCTGAGCAGTAAGCAGGGGCCCAGGAGTCTTCTCACAGTCAGTCAGAAAAGCAAGCAAGAATATCATATGAACCAATAAAGAAGATGTGGTATATATATATATATATATATATATATATATATATATATATATATATACACACACAATGGAATATTCCTCAGCCATAAATAAGAATGAACTTATGTCATTTGCTGGTAAATGGATGGAATTAGAGACTATCATACTAAGTGAAATAAGCTAATCCCAAAAAACCAAAGGCCAAATGTCCTGTCCAGTTTGTGGAAACTAACCCAAAACAAGGGAGGTTGGGAAAGGCAATAATAGAAATCCACTGCATTAGACAAGGGAAACAAAGGGAAGGGAAGAGGTTTGGGAATAGGAAATACAGTAGAAATAATCTGTCACAAGTTTCCTAGGCATAACCATGGTAACTCTACATCATGTACAACCGCAAGAGCGGGATCCTAAATAGAATACGTTATACTCTATGTATGCATAATCTGCTAAAATACATTCTACTTGATTTATAACTAAACAGAACAATCACAAGCTCCCTCTGGTTCTAGAGAAGGGGGGCTTTGAAGGACCTGATGCTAAAGCACTCTGAAAGCGGTTCCTGGCCCGGTACACGGAGTGGATGTGGGGGTGCCCAGCCTCCGCCACTTTCTGCATCAGCAAGGCCAGACTCACATGCCCTTTTCCAAAGTAACTGAAAAAAATAGAGAAGATACAGCTGTCACTCTACATCTAAAATATAATTAGAAGTTGTCATTCAGAAAGGGCCAGCACAGGTCATTTGGAAGTAATAAGCTAGTTACGATTCTGTTCTAGTAGAAAATTAACAAGGAAATCTAAAATTTACAAGGCACCCAAGAGGGAAAAAGCAGTTGCTGGCGTTTGTTTGAAAACCACAGGAAACTTCTTCCTGCTTTTGATCCAAATGGGCCACTAGCACATGAGGAGCTCCGGTGTGGCCTGGCAGAGGCACTTGTGGCACATGGTGGCAGGAACTCTCAGCCAGCCAGGCCGAAGTCCTCCAGGGCAGCCATGGCCAGATTCCCCTCAGGTGGCGGGAGAACTGCGAACATGCTCCTGGTCATTGTCAGCCTGAGGGACTCCAGGCTGGCCTGAGCCAAAGCCCCCGTTGGCACCAAGCCTTCCCAGGGAGTCTGGAGTCCAGGCAGCTGGGCAGCACTGTGAGGGAGAGGGTGTCCACAGGGCCTCCGCCAGCCGGTGAGCACAGGCCTTAGAGGGAGCCAAGCAGGCCCGTCAGAGCAGGCTCTGGTTTAGAGGGCCAGAGTGTAACTTGGAAGTCATCCAAGGAGGTCAGAGTTCAGAGACATGGAGGCTGCTTCAGAAAGACATCCCGCTCCTGAGTGTCTCGCTGAGAGGGAAGTTTGGGTCATCTTAACTGGTGACGAGTGTCCAGGGTCCACATACTTGGTGCACCGCTTCTGAAATCTCTATGGAGGCAAAAGGAGAGGTGTCTCTGCTGTGCAGCATGTAGCTGGAGGAGCCAAAAGTCATTCTGGGTCCTTCAAGCTCTTATGTGACGGGTGCGAAGTCCACTTGGAGATGCAGGGAGGATCACTGTCTTTAGGGTGGCTTAGAGACAGGTGGGGAGGAGGGATGCCACCGTTGCCTCCTCCAACAGCCTGTCTGGTGGGAGACCTTTCTCGCCTGAGTGCAGCGGAGTTTGTAGAAGAGCTGAGGTTTATTAAATAGACTTGTAAGTAAACGAAGATTCGATGTGAGGGCCATTCCCTGAGCTGAGCTTGGCTGGCAGTCCCATAAAAGGGCCCAGATTCCTCCACCTTAATAAGACAGCTTGTTTGGTCGGCTGTTCCTCATACCCATGGCATCCAAAATCAAGAACCAGCTGCAATGCCAAGTGATTGGAAGAGCAGAGAGCAAGTCACATTTGTGTGTGAGGAGAAAAACCAGGATCCCAGCCATGAAACGCACCCAAATCTGCACATGAATAAAATGGTCATCCCTCCTGTCTAGGAAGTTTGCAATATCCAGGTTTGATCCTCAGCACTGCAAAAGGAAAAAAAAAAGTGTGTGTTTACTCACACACACACACACACACATACACCACACACAAAATCCAAATTTCTAAATTGCAGGAATTATAACAGCAAATGTGTGCTTTCCCCCATTTTTTAATTGGAAAATTACAATTATACATAATGGTGGTATCATTGTTACATATTCACACATGCACACAATGTAATAATATAATTTGACCAATATCATTCCCTAG